TGTATGTGCACATAAGTTTTTTTTTCATTGTTTGGGGCTTCACTTAATTTTTTGTAGTCCTTATTCTATTATAAATTGGATGCACATGTTGGTTGGATTGTGTAACTGTTCAGTTTCTTGGATGAAACTAACATAATATGCTTATATTCTCCTAATACTAAATTACTAGAAAAATTCAACTTATCCTCTGGACAACCCACACTGTTTCTAATAAGAACTTTACTAAGTTCTTATTTTTTCACTGGGACTGAAATTCTTAAATATAGTCATTGAAACTGAACAAGCTTAAGTAGCCCATGAAGAAGGATTGTAAGATTTCTTTTTTTTTTTTTTTAGTTAAGTTGGACACAATAACTTTATTTTATTTATTTATTTTTATGTGGTGCTGAAGATTCAACCCAGGGCCTCCCAATGTGCGAGGCAAGTGCTCTACCACTGAGCCACAGCCCCATCCCCTAATGTAGATGTTCTTTGTTAACAGTTTTTTTTAATCACTTATACTTGAGAATGTTATTTTAGCTGGATAATTTATGGTTAAAATAAACAGTCCTATAATTTGCACTTAAGGAAATGCATTGGTCTCTTCCAGGACAGATGTGCAGATGGAAGGTATAGAGAGGTGGTAGGATATGACCCATGGTATAGTTCTTCAAATCAGATGCTCTGGGGAGATTCTAACCAAGATTAGAAGTTTCCTCTCACATGAGATTAACTGTTTCTAGCTCAGACAAGACTAAATCTTGCACTGAAAAATATGACTCCTAGATATTTTAATGGTTGGCAGTACTTTATTTAATTTCTAGACTGATTTTTTTAATGACCTAAACCTTAAAATCACTCATCCTTCTATAATTAAATGTGATAGATGAGAAGAGCTGCAGGCATTTCAGACTAACTTGCACACAATACAAAGATCAGAGATGTTTTTCCCTTAGATACTTGAGGAAAACATGCCCAAAATTTATTCACAGTAACTATAACATGCATTTCAGTCCAGCCTATATGGTTAAAATGGACTCTTAACACTAACAGCAGCAGCACTCTAACTTCAATAAGGGCTACATCACTTGTTTCCACTATAACTTTAATAAGGGCTACAACACTTCTCTTTCTACTAGTAAGTTCCTGCACCAAGGACAACAAATGGCCGAAACATACATGTTGCCATGGAAAATAACTCCCATTGCCTCAGAAGCAGGATATGTCTATCAGCCTCAAGAAATACCGAATATCAATCAACCTTTAAGTCCAGTTACAAAAAAAAATTGCTGAAACACAGTGAAAAATTTGAATCTTCTCTATCTCAGACCCTCATCTTGCCTGAAAATCTTAAGACTTCAGGACTCTACCATCTAATCCCCTTTCCATCTTTGCATTCATAGCTCTCTAGCGTCATTCTCCAGCCACACAACACAGTGGTATCTGCTCACAGCATTTACACATTTTTTATTATTTATTGCTGCTCAGACTTGGGTTTTTTTTTTAATAATTCAAACAGGGTTTTCTTCCTTCAGCATTTTATCAGGATGATAATCGCAATTTTGTGGTTTCAGCATCTCACAAAGCAAAACAATTTCTCCCACCCAAGAGATGACCTTTGTAATTATATCAAAACTAGGATCCCAAAAGTTCAATACTTGAGGTAACTCTGTATGATTTTTGTGAGCAGGGTGCTGAGGTAACAGTATCTTATAGAAATAAAGAAACAAAAATATAACAATTGTTTCACTCTAGAAGAGACTTTCTTTTATGGTCTTTTTGGCTTTTCCTAAATATCTTCAAATATTTTTTCTAAATAATTTGCCAGAAGGTCCTAAATATCCTACCTACATGAATCAGAAATTATCTAAAACCTCTGCTGTACCTCCACATACATTTTAATTGTGTCCATGTTTTCCTAGACTTTTTCCAGGTTTTTACTTGGAAGCCTCTTAAAAAGAATCAGATAGCTTTACTAGATTTTTGCTATTGTTGGGAAATAATTTTGTGCATAGACAGTTTGTGTCCATCTGTATTAGAGGACACATTTAATTGTCATACTTTTCTTGCTCTTAACATTTATTTAAAATGAAATTTAATGTTTTGAAGCACCCAAACAACATATGCTTCTGTTGTTTTTGCATTCATTCTCTTTACCTGAATTTATTTGCCAGAATGGGAAATAGCCACCCTGGCATGGTCATTTTATACACACATGTCCATTTTACATTTAGGGAGCAGTAATTAACAAATGAATGAAATCTTAGACATTACTTAACCAGTATTTTAATTTATTTAATTTTATATTCATTTTCATTCATTTAATTAAAACAAAATTGGCACCTATTATTTCTGAAGTCCAGTCTAGGTGCCTAGAATACATCAGTGAACAAAACAAGCAGGAAAGTCCTGATCTTTTGTATTCTAGTAGGAGAATAAACAGAACACTTAAACTGAAAATAAGGAGCAAGGTAAGGGCCTCTGACTGTGCTGGAATAACAGATTGCAATTTTAAATAGACTCGTGAAAACAGGAACCACAGAAAACTGACAATACGCAGATGCTTAAAGGAGATGAGCAAGTAAGCCAGTGGAAATAATTGGCAGAGGAGGGCTCCAGGTAGGGGGAAGTCAGGGAGCATAATCTGGAGCGGGAGCTTGCCTATTTTGTTCCAGAAATAGTAGGCTGCTTCCACAGTTAAGAATGAAAACGTCAATAGAACCATCTCATTCAGTCTAATCTCCCCAACCCTGTAGTTAGCAGGTATGCATTCAGCCATTCTTCATTGTAATAAACATGTACATTCTTGTAAATAGTATTTTCAATTTTATTGACAAATTTTTGTACTCACCACATTTCTATGCATTTTTACAATGATTTTACTTTTTTTTTTCATTATATTACAAACTTCAGGGTAAGGAACGGATCCTCTATTATATTTCCCAAAATTATTTTCTACACCCAACTGGTATTCAACGTGTTGTCAACTTTAAGAAGGAATAAAAGAAGATTTAATAGTCTGAGTTTTAAAGACCCTAACTTAGTTCCACGAATTGAAACGGTCAAATCTTTTAGTCTTTGTCTCAGTTTCATATTGTGCAACTATAAGACAGTAAAATGTTACATATGTACTATATCGCATAACTTAGATAAAATATGGAACTGACTTTGATTCCACAAATATATGAATAAGATATATGAGGAAAAGTTCAAAAGTCTGAATGTAGTTCTTCAGGAAAAAAATGTAATTTGAAGAACACTGAGAAAATCAAATAACTGCATGGGGTGGCCAGTGATGACATTCTGTGAGCTATTGACCTGAATTTTCTGCTCTGATGCCCAGTTTTTCATCTGCTCAGTTCTAGTCACCTGAATGGTAGTGTTCAGACCTCAAGGGAAACTTTGCCTTCCACACTGATCCATTTCATGCTGTGTCTATTTTAGAACAATGTCTCTCATGATTCTTGACCTTGCCAACTTTCATCCAAATTCACGACTTTCAGTCAAATGACAAGTCCAGCTCATGAATAATGTAGTTCCCTTGTCCTAAGATGTCTCTTAGGCCATATATCAGAATTTTTTTCTGATTTGTGTTAATCTGACTGTGATAAGCCTCAAAAGTGTTTTGTTGAATATATTTTATTCCAATATTTTATGACTTCCAAATTCCCATAAAGAACAAATTTAGGAGACTGATTAACAGTGAGAAATATTAAATGATATAATTCAGGAATATTAATTAATTAATTAATTAACTTGTTTTGTTTGTTTATTTATTTATTTTTGTGGTGCTGGGGATTGAACCCAGGGCCTTGTGCATCAAAATTTAATTCTATTTTACGCATAAAGCTATATTGCTTTGAGTGACTTTGAGTCTACCTTTCTTGTAGATACAGAAATATAGAAAAAAAAATTATTTGATTTAGAGACTCATGAAGCATCCTCTTATTCAACCTCCTGTTACAAACTGTACATTGCTATTCATCATTCAAACATTCTTCATCTGTTTATGACCATCAATATGCCGGTGACCATACTAGTGCAGGGTTCTCTCTGCCTTTCAGGAATTCATGACCAAGTACAGAAGAAATAAAAGTTACATTCTACATAGGCCAAAGCTTTCCAGGATATTATGGTTCAAAACTTTGAAATAAAAAGAAATGGCCTATGCTTATTAAACTCATAAGAGCCAATGGATAAATATCAGTTATATAAGCCATTTGCCTATTTATGGATTTTAAAGTTAGTGAAATTTCCTTAGATTCTTGTGAGTATTCGTAATCACTATTCAGGGAGACCTTCCCCAATATAATATGAGAAACCAAATTAATATTCAGAAGGTTTCAAAGTGAACATGGTTTTAAAATAATCCGAATATCCTTAAGCTGTTGGACAGACTATAATAATGAAGAACCAGCTTAACCCTTGCATCCCAATGTGCCTCCAGAGTAACTTAGTCAGTTTCTCTAAATGAATCTCTCCATTTGACAGTCTAGCACAGCCATATCTAGCTCCTGTTTCTCTCTCCCCAGGCTCTGTATGATTCTGAAAACACTTACTTTCTTCAGGTCAATTAAAATATATTTGTTTATGTTTGCATTAGTGCTTTTCATTCATTTGAGTAGGTAGAAACAGAAAGTTAACCCAAACTACTTTATGCTTTCTTGAGATTTACCTTAGCTGACTAGCTATCTCTTTCCAATACATGTATATATGTGTGTGTGTGTGTGTTGTATATGTGTGTGTACATATGTATATATGTACACACATATATACACATATTTATATACATATATATTTATATATGTGCATGTTTATGCTTCATAGTATATCTTTACATATATGTGTGTATACATGCATGAATTTCTATGGTATATTCACCATTTTTAATATATTGACTATTCCTTAGGCATACTGTGTATTTGATGTATTTAATTATACTGGTATTTGCAGTAAGGTATTAGAACTATTATGCCTAATTTTTAAAATTTTTTAACAATGACTTCTTTGTTTCTTTCCAGGTTGTAAAAATGATGATCATCGTTGTGGTGACATTTGCCATCTGCTGGCTACCCTATCATATTTACTTCATTCTCACTGCGATCTATCAACAATTAAATAGATGGAAATACATCCAGCAGGTCTACCTGGCCAGCTTTTGGCTGGCAATGAGCTCAACCATGTACAACCCCATCATCTACTGCTGTCTGAATAAGAGGTAAAAAATGAACCCACCCAATCAAGCCTTTTATCACCCCTGCCTTTGCTGGAAGTACATGTTGTGCCCATTTCTTGGTGCTAATTTAAAATACAGAAAGACAGGAGAATGTAAATATCTGCTGAGAGGAGAACAGAGATTGGTTTTTAAGGGGTTCACCCTACTTCACAAAATGTCACATTTAAAAATTACATGCTCAAAACAGTGTTTGAAGAAGTTATAATTGGACATTTTTTGTATGTGGGCCACTTCTCTCTCCAAACTCTTCAGAATTTTACCTGCCAAGGAAAAAGAAATGATTAAAAGTGGTGAATTGAAAATGTGTTCGAATCTTCAAGGAAATAAAGGTGCACAGATAATGCCTATAAGATGGAGAGTTGATGACTTAGGTGAATGGGCTGTGTTAGAAAAGATGTCTCATAAACTGACTTTAAAATAGATGTTGCTGTGAGAGTGAGATAACAAACAGGAAGGACAAGGAGAATCCTAGTCTCCTAGTCCTCCTTCCCATGAAACAATGAGGGGTGATTTCTAGAGGATGCAGTTTCCACTGAGATGGATTGTAAAGTCAGGGAGAAAGGGAAAAATGTTCATAAAGCTTTTAAAATATCAGGACACTTAGCCAGGAGTGGTGGTACATACATGTAATCCCAGTGGCTCAGGAGGCTGAAGCAAGAGGATCACAAGTACAATGCCAGCCTCAGCAACTTAGGAAGACTCTTTCTCAAAATAAAAAGGTCTAGGGATGTTCTTCAGTGGTCAAGCACCTGATACAAAAAAAAAAAAATCAGCAAACTTATATTCAAATTTAGGACTAGAAAAAAGGAGCCTGACTTTGCCTGGCAAAACAACAGATGTGATTAGGTTTTTCAGCCATTGTTATCTCAAGAAGAAAAAATGAGTTAATTGATTTGGGTCTACCCTTGTCTTCTCTGTAGGGAAGTTAAGATCACAGATACTAAAGTTAAAATGATCTAGGTTCAAATCCACACCTAGTGTTTTCCAGCTATGTAAGCATGAAATGTTCTCTGAGCCTGAGTTTCCCCACTTGCAACATAGAACATAATATCAACTTCAAAGGTGGTTGTGAGATTAAATTAGATAAAGTATGTGAAATTTTTAGCACAATGATTAGAATATAGAAAAAAAATTGAGATTACAGGTCTTTTAGTGATCAATGCATAAATAGCATACATATTATCATATCAGTGTTGGTCACCTATGGCCAAATAACAGTAACTTCTCGTTGAAATTTACTTAGATAGGACTTTTTTTTCTATTTTTCACTAAGAAGCTATCACTTTCTAATGAAAAATGAAAATGAGACATAATTTATACATCTGCTTATGTGAACAAAATGAATTTCGACTGCAATAAAATTACTTTAGCCAAAAAAAAGGACTACAGAAAAAGTAAAATGTGGTTATCAGATTTAAAAAAAAAAAAAACAAAAACTTGTTTCTATGTTCCACAAATAGAGTGGTATACCTAAATTTCACAAAATTGACAATGTCCAGGAGGTTTTATGCACTAATAGAAATGGGTCTTAATAAAAATAGCTGCATAAGCCAAATCCTAAACTCTCTTCCCAGTTGGGGCTCCACCACACTGTGCCTTAAGTTTGTTAAATACTTAATTAACTCTTACTCTTTTTTTCACTAATTGCATAAGTCACTTAATTTAAGCTACCCCACAAGCAATACTTTGCTTTTAAACTTCATTTAATCATCTGCCAAAACAAGGATTTAACTCTTTCACATATAATTAGGTTAAAAACCATTAACAATTAATTCTACCATTAAATGATGTTATAATTTATAAATGGGAATTATTCGTGGAGAAGCTATTTTTAAACACAGCATTTCATTTGAAGTGTTACAACCAGCCATATTAATTCAATTATACTTATGTAAATGTATAAAATTAGTGCAGAAATCTAGTTTCTTTGGCATATTAATAACCTGGTGTTTTTCCTTTTCTATTTGATGACTTCCTTCTCAATGATGAGAAATTAAGATTCTATTCAAACAAGAACTGAGAAGACTAATACTAATACCATGGCATAGATTCTGACTTTGGGTAGAAAATCAGTTTCAAAGTTCACCGACTTGGCTTAACTGCCTTCAGTAAGGTTTCCTATGGCAGCTGGAGAAAATGTCCATTTGAAAACATAACTTTTTCTTTCTGTGGCCCTCTTCTCCTCAGATTTCGAGCTGGCTTCAAGAGAGCATTCCGCTGGTGTCCTTTCATCCAGGTTTCCAGCTATGATGAGCTAGAGCTCAAAACCACCAGGTTTCACCCAACTCGGCAAAGCAGCCTGTACACCGTGACCAGGATGGAGTCGGTGACAGTGGCGTTGGACCCCAGTGACACCGACAACACCAAATCCACTAGGAAGAAAAGAGCCGCACCCCGAGACCCCAGCATCAGTGGCTGCTCCCGCGGGGATTCCAAGTCGGCCTCCACCACCTCCAGTTTCATAAGCTCACCCTACACCTCTGTGGAGGAGTATTCATAAGGCCATTTCCTGAGGTGAAAGATTTGTGTGAGGCCATCACGGTGCCAACATAGGTCCCCGTTCTCCTGCCTGTCAATATTGTATTGCATACCCTCTGGAAGCAGGAGGATGACTTTATTTAGGCAGCTATGTTTAAGTCAAGAAAGAAAGCATGTAAATATAACAAAGACCCTACTAAGATATTAAGCCTTCTCCTCCACCCCCCGAAAAAAAGAAATGAAGTGGATGTAAGTACATTCTTTAAAAACTCTAAATTATTATATGCAGCAAAAATATATATCTAAAAAATACTTGAGGGCTGGGGTTGTATAGATCAGTGCTACAGCGCTTGCCTTGCATGAGTGAAGCACTGGATTCAATCCTCAACACCACATAAATAAATAAAACAAAAGTATTGTGTCCATCTACAACTAAAGAAATATTTTTAAAAACCTTGACAATTGTCAAGTTTCTCTCATTTAAAAACTACAGTATACATTTGTGATACTAAAATGACATATAGTTTTCCCAAAAGATTAAAGAAGCTTTAAAATATATTCTGAGTAAGGAAAAACAAACTCTACATAAAATGAAACTTTTCATCTACAGCTATAGAATGGAAAAGTTCAATGGCTCCTTTTCCCATAAGAGTGATGGAAAATTAACCTCAGAAAATAGGAAGTAATAAAAAACCTTTTTCAAGAAAATTCATTTTGTGGCATGAAAGCTGTTAAAGGTTTAAAGATTTCCTGCAAGACACTTAACAGAAAATAAAATCACATCAAGTCATTAGGCAGATAGACATATTATTCTCTGAATTATTTTTTCTGAGAAAGTGACTTCAAAAGAAAAATATAATCACCTAATTTTGACTATGTATTTTAAATGCTAATCTATGATATAGTCAACTTGAGAACCTTAAAAGGACAAAGAGAATTCCTAGATTCTTCTGTTTTATTTTTCACAGATTTTTAAAAATTACGTAGATTATATAATACTAAAGATGCCTTCTAATGCAGAAGAGGAGAATCCCATTTGCCTCTATAATTAGCTAACAATTATTAGACAAGAACTACAGAAAGTCATTCATAGGTATGAAGAGACAGAAACATCTGCTAGCTTCAAAGGCAGATGTTTGTCACCTCTAGTCCATGGAAAAAGTTTTAGAATTAACTTTATCAATAGTACTGTGTACTTTTCTACTCCCCTAATTTAAAAAGAAGCAAGGACTAGTGGAACACATCAGAATATGTTTCGAGTGCCAGTCTTTATGGGGAAAAAAAGTTGTAGGAGTTAAAGAAGAAAACGTAACTGAAAATATTACTATACCTACAAGTAAATCAGAAAAGATGTAGAGAGGTAAGTCAAGTGCTAGAAACAAAAGCTTTAGAATAGTTTGGATACATATGAGCTAATTAATGTCAGGTGAGCAAGAGAATAACAATGACCCTTTCACACAAAGACCTCTTCCTTGTTTAGCTAACCCCAACTTTCTCTGGAAAGAAATAAAGCCCTTTTATTACCAGAAAATTGATTGACAGATGATAGATAAATAGATAGATAAACAAATAGATGGATATGTAGGCACATTTCTGAGACCCATAACAAAACAATGAACAGCTGAGTAAAGAATTTATCTTCCAGACCTCAGTCCTTAGAAATCATCTTTCCTTAAATTGGGAATACTGTCAATCCTGTCCAATAAAATCACAAACTTTCTGAGAACGTGGATGTGTAGTTTAAAACTTCTTTAAAATATCATTACATTTTTAAAATTGTCCAAATAATTACCTGTAACATTTTACTTGACTGGTCAATATTAGAACCAATATCTTTTTGAAGAACAGGATAAAAGCAATTATTCAATGGCAAATCATGGTAGATTGCTATCATATTAATCTTTCAATCCTCCTCCCTATTTTGGAGCCAAAATCAGAAAAACCCAATTGTTTCAACGTGTTAAAAGTCTAAATAACTTAACCAGATGTGTTCGAGTTGAATTTCTTTTAATGATACCAATAAACAAAAGGAAGCATATAAAATGCATACATGAGTGTTCAGGCATATATTATTGTACAATAAATATAACAACTTTTAAAAAATTAAATTAAAAATTAATTTTGAAATAGTAAATGGTAATTAGAGGGTTGTCATAAATAAATCAGTAAAGTCCAGGAAGCTTGTGTGCATGTTTTAATCAAATTTCATTATTTAGTATCTAATTGTTTGAATATAATGCCTTTTTAATGTTCATATTTAAAAATGCTAATGCTTATCAAACGTAAAAATGTCAAAAAAAAGTCTAGTATGTAAATTCAGGTGTAACTTTCTTCTTAAATATATGAATGATATGGGCCTGGCATAATTAATGTACAGGACACATGGGAAATATTTAGCTATAGAATACAAATATGAAGTTTGGCCTTCAAATTTCATATCAACAGCCACCACCCAAAATACACTTGAAAAATCTAACTCCTGGCCTTCACACCTGTTAGGAAAATTCAGTGGAATTTGCTAAGACATTTCTGAGTAAAATTATTGTCCTGGTCAGTTTTGTTTGTTGGTTTGATTTTTTTTTTCCTTGAGTAGATTTGCTGTTCCTTCACTGAACACCATCCCTTCTAGTGAAATAGAAATACTTGAGGCCTGATGGTATCTTTTTAATACTTTTGAGGAAAATTAACATCATTCATTCAGTATTCATGACTCTTAAACCAAGATATACAAGGCAGAGTTTAAGTTCAAAAATGTAATCAATAATAATAATGAAGTAAATGAATGAAAGAGGTAAGAGTTTCAATCTTTTGTCTGAATCGACACTAAGGATTACAGAATAGTACATATGGAAATCAGTTTCAACAGTAATCACTCTAAATAAATAAAAAAAATCACTTTAAATCAGTGTTTCATATTTGCCAGGTTTTAGAAGAATTTGCCTCCAAGATTCACTGTATGCTGATATTAAAGTTCAGCATGAATCTTCATTGTTTGCAAGAAAACACTGACTCAGAATACTGAGCAGATAGATAAAATGTCATAGGTTTTTTATTTAAGATTTTGCTCAACATCAGAAAAATCTGAAATATTTTGAGAGAAATCTTAAATGTCTTGCATCATTTTAAATATTCTCTTTTTAAAAGAAAAAAAGCAAATGAAAATATTATGTTTTTTATTATTTTGCATCTGAACAAGGTGTTTGAAATTATCTGCAAGGGAAAAGCAGATAAACATGGTTCTTGTATAATCTGATCTAACATCATTTTTTATTTATTTATTTTTTGGGATTTTTTGGTGGTTCAGTGTGCCGTTGCTTTATTCCACTATTCCACCTCCCAACCTCATAATAGTGACATTTCTGACCTAGCAGCCAAATTCATATTCTATTCCAGTTCCTGAAAATCTCTTATAAACAGACATCTGACTTCAAAGTACCTCCAATCTTATAACACATACTAAATACCAAGAAGCATAGTGTCAAGTATCAAGATTTGGAAACACAAGATAAATGTGAAAAATCAATGAAGGCCAGCTCAAAATTTGATTTCACTTTTGTTAATACAGAATTTACTTGGAAAACCTTTGATTAGTGTTTGATAAATTACTCCATCAAATATAAATTTGCAGCTAAACATCTAACAGTAACAATTTGAGTTCCATTTGTCTTTGACAAGGTGCCAAAAGTTCAGGAAATCAAGCATGACACTGGCCTAGTAGAATAATAAGATTGTAATAATTTTCCTTCAAGCCAAACAGGAATGGAGAATAATGTCCACTCGAGCTATACAAGGTCATTAATTGTGTGATTTAATACATATATATATATATATATATATATATATATATATAGTGGAAAATATATGCATACAAGAAATAAATGTATATAAAAGTTGTAGCTAGTGAACATAGTATTTTCAAGTGTGGTAATCATACTGAGTATGTTTAATCAATTGATGTCCTTTGCATATATGGTATTATGTAATAGATTTAATTTCAGTATTTTTCTTTGAATACATTAAAAATGATATGAAAAATTAAAAATACCAATTTTCCTGTTGGTTATTAAAACATAATGTAATGGAGGGTCTCATCTTTTGTAAACATAGTCACCCAACTATCACACAAAACAACGTGTGCTACCTCCCTTTCTTTTCATCATAAAAATGTCCAGTTTTTGTAAGTTTCCTGGATTCAAACAAATTATTTAAGGGAGCAAAGTTATCAAGGTACAGAAAAATTATTCTGTAGAGGGAATAGGAGCAAAGAAACAGGAATAGAACCTAAAGCATACGTAGCCGAGTATAGAGCATTTTACAACTATGGCATCCAGCCTATTCCCAGCAACAGACTCCAGTTTAAATTTGAGCCCCATAATGGATATCTGGGGGACTTTGACTGTTTGATTCTCTGCTCTGAGCCTCACTTAATGTACCCGTAATAAAAAGAAAAATAATAATTTCCTCAGAGAGCTAATGTGAGGGTTAAGTGAGTTAATATATAAAAAGGACAAAGCCAACCAGGAAAAAAAATGTTTAAAACATCGTCATTATTATTGGGAGCATGTAGAAAAATATTAGACAAACCCTTTTTTGCCTGTACCATTCTACCTCCATACAAAGCTCTTTGAGGAGCTATGGGTAGACTTAAGGACTTTTATCACTTGACCCTGGGCTGTTTTCAGAGTTCCAATGAGAACTCATGGTTTGTATACATGTGTTCTGGGAATTTGCTATCTGTCCCTGGTCCCTGAATATGGAAAGCTATATAGGTGAAGGGTTGGACATGGCCAATCAACAGAAGGAGTGCCTTTCAGCATGTAAAACTAAATTCACTTCTTTAGAGAGATGCAGGTAGGTACGGTTATATGCAGGTTCAGAAATAAGAATGTTAACCATTAGAGGCTGATAGATAAGGGAGAAAAGGCAGAAAGTTTTCTTTCAAAGTTTACTTTGAAGCTCCTTTGACTTAAATCTTAATGTCTCCTACCTGGTGCTCTGAGCATCAGTGCCCAGGAACATTTCCAGTTCAGGTACTAACAATGACCCTCACTGCCTATGATTCTAGAAGTCACAAGGACATCTCCCCTGACCTAGTCTCTCATTCCAACTTTCAATGCAAGCCAAGCATCCTCTACCAATTCCTTATAACAGGGGACAGAGAAGCAAGGCATTTTTATTAGCTTATCACACACTCAGAGCATTAAGAAATCATTCACACTTTTAAAACTTAGTGTTCTTCTGCTCTATTCAACTTATTAGGCAGATAATTTTAAATAATCATTTTTAATATGTTAAGAGAGTTAAAGGAAACTGTGGTAAGCCATTCTTATAGACCGTGGCCGCCATTAGAAGATGGCGCCGGCTTCCACTGTGGCCTGTGATAAACAACTCCTTTTTTGGAGAGTTGGCGCGCAATCCCTTACCACCCTATGAGAGAGATCCACGTGGCAGCTTGGGATTGGTATGCGGGAGGCTTTATTAGGCTGTGCTTGGGCGCTCGGCAGGGGGGTCGCTAGAAGATGATACTTGAAACAAGGCCTGAATAAACTGCTGAAAGAAGAATCCTGTGTCGTGTTTTCCCTTGCCGGCGAGGGGTCGCGACAGGAAACCATGGACAAAGAACCAAAATGAGCCAGCAAATTGGTATAAAAAATGATAATATCAATAAGGAAATGAAATTTCTCGAAACCAACTAAATGAAAGTTCTAGAGCTATAAAGAACAAGTAAAATGAAAGGTTCTCTGGAGAATTTCAACAGTATTTCAGTAGGCAAGAGAAAGAGATAATTTGGTGATAGTGTATGTGAAATTATCTAGACTGAGGAGTAGAAAAGAAAGAATGAAGGGAATACATGGAACATGTACAAGGTAGCCCCCAATGACCACCTCCTCCAGCTAAATGCTACCTGCCTTCAGCTACCACTCAGTTAATCCCATCAGGGGAGTAATTCATTGATTGTGTTAAGGCTCTCACGACCCAATCATTTCACCTATAAATTTTCTTGCGTTATCTCACACATGAGCTTTTGGAGGACACCTCACATCTAAACAATAACTATTGGGGATTTTGGTAATACCACTTTCAAAAATTAAGATAATATCTAAACAGATAATCTATAATAAAACAGAGAATTCGAACAATATTATGAACTACTATGGCTAACACACATATACAGAACCCTCCACTCAGAACATCAGGATATATATTATTCTACATGTACACAGAATATTCTCCAGGATAGATGATATTTTACTCAATAAAACAAGCCTTAAAATGTAAAAACACTGAAATCGTACCACATATCCTATCTTGTAAAAATGGAGTGAAGCTAGAAATCAGTAACAAGGGAAACTGAAAGATTCACAAGTTAGAAATAGAAATTAAATAGCCTGTTCTTAAACAACTGTGAGGGTTCATTGTATGTATGTGTAAGTTTGATGGGATCATGGGGTGCCCAAATGCTTGGATAAAAATTATTTCTGGGTATAACTAAAGTGTTTCTGGAAAAGAGAACAGAAGAAAAACAGGGCATGGTGGAACATACCAGTAATCCCAGGTGCTCAGGAGTCTGAGGCAGGAGGATCCAAGTTCAAAGCCAGCCTCAGCAACTTAGTGAGGCCCTGAGCAACTCAGTGAGATTCTGTTTCTCCATAAAATACCAAATAGGGCTGGGGATGTGGCTCAGTGGTCAAGTGTCCCTGTATTCAATTCACTGCACCCCTTCCACCCTAGCCCCCCCAAAAAAACAAACAAACAAACAAACAAAGCAATTGCCTATGAGAATGAAAATGGGTATCATCCAACTAAGGATCCAAATAAAATAGAAGGTGGAGGAAGGGAGAATTGCTTCTTCTGCCTGATGGAATAAAAATATTGGTCTTTTCCTACCCTCATACTAGCATCAGACTCAGATGAACTAAAGTGGCCCCCCCTTTCTCCATGGAAAAGCCCTCTTCACCATGGCTGATTTTAGGACTGTCAGAAAAAGAGTCTATGCAAAAAAGTGCAATGTAGATAAACTTCCTATTTTCATGTCACCCTGTTTACTTGGCCACTGGCTGAGAAGATACCAGCACTCCAGATGCTGGACACCCTCTTACTAGTTTTTCACAAACGTACTTTGAAGAAATGTGCAAACAAGGCCTCTGGCCTTGAGCTGGGCTTCACAGAGATGTCTACGTTTTTAAGATAAGTTACAAATGGGCTCCATGGTAACACCTGGCAGGGGAGAAAAAAAAAAGGGAAGAAGAAGCTCTCCCCTTCTCAGGTGTTGTCCTTGAAGAGTTAACTTGCCCAGAACAGTGAAAGAAAAAGCTGCTTTTATGTGAACTTCTGCAGATTGTGAACTTCTGAGCCCCTCCCCTTACATGCTGGGTATAAAATTCTGAAACTCCCTGAACTCGGGGCTCAGGGGATTAATTGATTACAGCAAAAGCTGTGCCCTCTGAACCTGGCTGCAGCCAAATAAAACTGTTTCCTGCTGTCTTGGGTGCCTTGCCTTGTTTGTCCCCACAACAGAACCACACCACTAGATTTCCTGGGTCTGCATCTTGCACACAGCCAGATGAGATTTCTCAGTCTTCAGAATCATTTGACCAATAGGGAAAATATGAATCAAAACCGTAACAAGATACCACCTACTAGGATAGTTGAAATAGAAAAGAAAGACAATAGCATAGTTTGACAAGAATGTAAAGAAACACAATGATATCAATGTAGGAAAATTAAAATTAAATTAAAGGTAAAATGGTGCAGCCTGTGTGGCACAATTTGGAAGTTCCTTGATCTTTTAAACAAAGTTACCATAGGACCTCAGATATTCTACTCACAGGTATCTACCCAAAGAAGAAACGAAATGTCCACTCAAAACTTGTACATAGGTGTTCATTGCATCTTTATTCATAATAGATTAAAAAGTCTAAGCAAACCCAAATACCTACCAACTGATGAACAGATAAAACAGAATTCCAGTGAAATCAAATATTTGGCAATATATAAAAGAAATTAAATACTGGTTTGTGCTACCACATGAATGAACCTCAAATCCAAATGATAGATGAAAGAAATCAGCCACAAAAGACTATGTGCTATATGATTCCAGCTATAGGAAATGAAGAGAACAGAGAAATAAAGTAGATTCTTAGGTTCCAGGTTACCCTAGTGCTCGAAGAGAGAGGAAAGTGAAAGAGAGAGAGTAGTAACTGATAATGAGCACAAGTTTTCTTTTTGGTTTCATGAGAATATTCTAAAATCAGATAATTTTGTTAGTTACACAAATCTGAAATACATTAACAACTACAAAGTTGAATACTTTAAATGTGAAAACATATCAAAAACAGTTTTTTTAAAAAAGAATAAGGATCTCAAGAAGCAAAAGTCTAATGAAAACATCAACAGCCTATACCATTTTTTTAAAAAGACCTATGAAAAAAATCATCAAATCAGAAAGCAAAAGAGTTGGTTGTATGGTCCTTAACAAAGAACTTTCAAAAAAGTGATAAATCCAGTTTTCTTTACAAATGCAACAGGCTTTTAAAAAGTCATGCTTTCCCTATGATGAACATAACTGGAATTGGACATAAAAATTTCCATTAGAAACATCTCACTCACTCAGTCCATGGACAGAATTTATCCCAGACACAGATGCATATTGAAATACGATGCCAACCATATCATTAAAAAACAATAATTCAGGGATTCCATGTTTTTATTTGTAAGCGATAGACATGAACTCCAGTAATCTTAGACAAAAGGAATTTTATAGAACACATTAGGAAACTCATAAACTGTCTCCACATTCTAGAAGAACAAGCCTGGAGCCATGCAAATACTGGCAACACACAAATCACACCTGGAACCATTAACTTAGTGACACTGCCACCAGAATTAACTGGACACAATCACTATTGTTTGCAAAACTTTTATTGCCTAAACTGAGTAG